AAAAAAAAAAAAGAAAATTAAAAAAAAAAAAAAAAAGAAGTGGGCAACTTATTCAAATTGGCAGGTACTGAGATGTTGCATTTGGGTGCTGTTATTGGGATCCCACTGCAAGGGGGAAAGTTTTTATTGCGAAAACCATAGCAGAAAACTTTCAAATCATTTTTTGTTTTCACACTTTTCAAATCTTTGCATAACTATTAATATTTTACTATAGAAACTGAATTATAAAAGGAAAATGCCATTACCAGAGGAAAGAAAATCCAATTGCTCTCACCAAGAGAGGTGAAAAAAGTGAAAGGGGTTAAGGGGTCTTCCACCCACATAGAAGACAAAGAACCAAGAAAGTGATTTTTATGTTCCCATCAGCTCTGTATGGTGGCCCTAGTGAAGGAGCGATGCAGGGGAAGGAGCCAAAGTCACTACCATAGGTACCTAGGCACACATACTCTTCTCAACTGGCCTCACCAGCACCAGGTAGCAGATTTTTTTTTCTGGCCCCCACTCCCACACCAGCTAATACATCTGTGGTAGGACAGAATGTCGAGCATCACTTTCCTTCACCCTCTGCTGCCACTGCCACCACCCTGCTCTTCACCTTCCCACACCATATGCACTATCCATGCAGGACACGTGACTTGGGTAAGATGAGTAAAGACATGGAGACTTGGCCTGCAAACGAACACATCTTAAACAGGTTAGTATCAACCCACCCACAAAGGTTTTTCTGTCTCAGAAATACTTAGTTTTAAAGGATCGATTCGAAGGACCTTGTACATTAATGTACAAGTTGCCAAGGGTTTAGGGGAGAGAGCAGAGAGGTAGACAAAAGAAAAAGAGACTGTGAGGAGGAAAAGAAGGAGGGAAAACTTTGAGCAGTCTTCAAAGTAGCCAGAAGAGATTTTTTCAAGAATTAACAGGTTTCTGCAGTGTGAAGTTTCCTCATAAAACTAGGAATAGAATCACCATTTGACCCAGTTATCCCAAAATCAACATACTACAGTGAAGCAGCCACACCAATGTTTATTACAGCTCAATTCACAATATCTAAGCTATGGAGCCAACCCAGGTGTCCTTCAGCAGAAAAAGTGGATAAATAAAACGTGAGCTGGGCACGGTAGCACACGCCTGTAATCCCAGCAGCTTGGGAGGCTAAGACAGGAGGATCTCAAGTTCAAAGCCAGCCTCAGCAAAAGCAGGTAACTCAGTGGGACCTTGTCTCTAAATAAAAAGGGCTGGGGTTGTGGCTCAGTGGTTAAGTGTCCCTGAGTTGGAAGGAAGGAAGGAAGGAAGGAAGGAAGGAAGGAAGGAAGGAAGGAAGGAAGGAAGGAAGGAAGGAAGGAAATGTGGTATATATACATAATGGAGTATTGCTTAGCAATTAAGAAAATGACTTTATGACATTTGCCAATAAATGGATGGATCTGGAGACTATCATGCTAAGTGAAAAAAGCCAGTCCTCAAAAGCCAAAAGTCAAATGTATTCACTGATATGTGGAAGCTAACCCAAAATAAGGGAGGAAAGTGAAGAACAGAAATTCAGTAGATTAGACAATGAGGAATGAAGGGAAGAGCAGTGGAATAAATCAGACATAGTTTTTATATATGTATACATGAGAGTGAATCCCATCATCATGTATATCCACAAGAATGTGGTCCTCATTAGAATAAGACATATTCCATCCTTGTATAACTATATCAAAATGGAGTCTGTCAAGTACATCTAAAAAGAACCAATAGAAATAAAATTAAATAAAGATGATTTGCAGTGGGATAAAAAGAATTAACAGATTTCTACTGGAAATGTAAATAAATTATTTGTGACACTCCCTTATGATCCTTCTAAAAGCAATTCTGTCTCTTCTCATTCCTTTAGCTTGTAGAGAAAAATAATAATAATAATAATWATTATTATTATTGGCACTTTATCACTGAGYTACATCACCAGCCCTTTGTATTTTGAGAATGTCTCACTAAGTTGCTTACGATCTAAGTTGCTGAGGCTGGCCTCAAATTTGTGATCTTCCTGCCTCAGCTTCCTGAGTCACTAGGCTTATAGGCATGTGTCACCACAACCAGACCTTGTAGAGAATTTTAGAGCTGGGGGAAACTTCAGTTATCCTGGACTGAGTCACATGTTTTATATTTAAGGAACCTGAGGCCTGAAAAAAAATACATTAGCTACATTATATATTCAAAGGACAAAGACAAAAATCCAGACTTCTCCCTTCCATGTTTCAGCTCTTCTGTTCTTTTGGAACACATTTGTGTCGAATCCCAACGCAAGGGAAGGGTTCTGGGTTGTAATCTCCTTTCACCGGACTCATGCCTATGACAATGGAGAATATGGACACCTCTGCTCTGTGCAACAATTTCTCCAAACATGTTGTAGAAAGTTGGATCCTAAACTAACTAGACTGAAATGCTCCCAGCACTGTTTTTGGTTTTGGTCTGTTTTTATTTTATATATATATATATATATATATATATATATATATATATATATATATATTTGTATTTTTTTATTAGTTGCGCATGACAATACAATGATCTTGACATATCATACATTTGAGTCAAATGGGGTATAATTTCTCATTTTTCCAAGTGAACAGGTTGTAGAATCACATTGGTTATACAGACACGTATATACATACAGTAATACTAGTGTTTATTTTATTCTGCTGCCCTTCCTGTTCCCCCTTCCCCACCCCTCCCCTCACTTCTCTCTACCCAGTCTAATGTGACACATTTCTTTTTTTTTCCCTCACATCATCATACATGTATTTTGTATAATGATGAGGGTCTCTTTCCATCTTCCGTGCAATTACCTTTCTCCCTCCCATTCCCTCCCACCTCTCTTCACTATTTAGTGGTAATCTTCTTCTCATGCTCTTCCTCCCTACCCCATTTCGAGTCACCCCCCCCCCTTATATCAGAGAAGACATTCAGCATTTGTTTTTTAGGGACTGGCTAACTTCACTTAGTATAATCTGCTCTAATGCCATCCATTTCCCTGCAAATGTCATGATCTTGCTATTTTTTAGTGTTGCACAATATTCCATTGTGTATAAATGACACATTTTCTTATCCATTCATCTATTAAAGGGCATCTAGGTTGGTTCCACAGTCTAGCTATTGTGAATTATACTGCTATAAACATTGATGTGGCTGTGTCCCTGTAGTATGCTCTTTTTAGGTCTTTTGGATATAGTCTGAGAAGGGGAATATCTGGGTCAAATGGTGGTTCCATTCCCAGCTTTCCAAGGAATCTGTTTTTGTTTTAAATAATGAGTTTCTTATTTGTCATTAACAGTTTTTTGGTGTTTTTTTTTTTTTTTGGTAGTAGGGTTGAACTCAGGGGCACTCAGCCACTGAGCCACATCCCCAGCCCTATTTTGTGTTTCATTTAGAGAAAGGGTCTCACTATATTGCTTAGGGCCTCACTTTTGCTGAGGCTGTCTCTGAACTCAGGATTTTCTTTTCTCAGCCTCCTGAGTCAATGGGATTACAGGGGTGTGCCACCATGCCTGGTGCTCTTCCTATTATTTTTACAACATGATTATTCCGTGTTTAGTGCAAAAACTTTAGAAAACATGTTTCTCTCCYGTGCAAAAACTCAAGGCAATGCTGCAGGCTTACACACTAACTGAAAAGAAGATCACATACCTTTGAACTCTCCACCTCTGCTCCCTCCTTGAATTTGGCCAGGGCACTCTTGAGGTCCTGAGACGTATAGGTATTRGTGTTGATGTCCAATCTGTCCAAAGAGAAGATGAGAGTCAGGAGAAAGGTACCACATTCCCCAAGAAAGAAAAAGCTCCTAGCTGTCTGGGCACTCCAAGGTTATTTAGGCCAAGCCAATATTTAGTATATTCTTATACCTTTGCCTTCAGACAGCCAGAAGCCCAAGAGGGTGACTTTCCTTGAGACTAGAGGAGGAAACACACAGCTAAAGACGTCGTTATTTCTTGAAGACAGAGGAAAAGGCACAGGGCAGAGAGAAGCCCACCTTTGACAAAGAGGTTACAGCTGGTAGGCAGAAATGATCCTAGAATGTCTATGATGCTGCTCTCTGAGCTCAGGCCACAGCAGGGCCTCGTGGCAGGCAGAGGATACAGAGAAAGGGAAGGAGGGCAACAGGGACCCAAGTTCCTCAGAGTATGCTGACTTTAACTGACAAGGCAGTTTTATTTTACAAAAATGTTTAGATAGATTCACACCTTAAAAATAACCTTTGAGGCCAGGCATGGTGGCGTACGCCTGTAATCCCAGCAGCTCTGGAGGCTGAGACAGGTGGATTTCAGGTTCAAAGCCAGCCTCAGCAACGGTGAGGCGCTAAGCAACTCAGTGAGACCTCATCTCTAAATAAAATACAAAATAGGGCTGGGGATGTGACTCAGTGGTTGAGTGCCCCTGAGTTCAATCCCTAGTACCACCCCCCAAAAAAAGAATAATCTTTGAGTCATGAGGAAAAGCAGGAGGTATGTATTAATCTCATAGAGGAATGGATTTGAGATACTGATGAGTAGAAGAATCAAGGTCGGCCACTTTCCATAGCCTGCCTTCAAGGGGAGAGAATAATCTCAACATGGCAGCAATCTCAATATTTTAAGAGACTAGAGTAGTATCCTAACAAAGACCCCTGGAGTTGATCTAAGCCACAACCATTTACCTTGATTGGAGAGAAGGMATCAGTGGGAGGAATGGGGAAAGGTTTCACCACCAGCACTCAAGTCAGTTAACAATGGTAATGTGGACAAATGGAAGTGTACATATGGAATGTGCTTGGACATGTCTGGCTATGGCTTGGTTAAGGATAACCCTGCAGATTTCAGAGTGGGGGAGGAAAGGGTTGCTCTCCTATTCTACTTCAAGGGCACAGCAAGTCAGTCTCATAGTCCAAAATCCTAACAGTTCTCAGCTTTCAAGAAAAGGACATGTACTCGGTCAAAGCTCTGCTCATTCAGTTTTGCTTTTGTTTTTAATATTTTTTAGTTGTCAATGGACCTTTATTTTATTTATTTATATGCAGTGCTGAGGTTAGAACCCAGTGCCTCACACATGCTAGGCAAGCACTCTACCACTGATCCACAACTCCAGCCCCTCATTCAGTTTCTGATTCATCCTAAAGACTCTTTAGGTTCTGAGAAAAACTTGTTCTCTAAACCTCAGTCCTTCTAATCTCATTAATTATAGTTAATCACTCCTATTTATTGAATACTTTACTGTGGGTCAGTAGTTTGTTAGTTAAAAAGTAGTATTTCATTCAAACAGCATAACCTCACAAAGAAGGTAAGAGAATCCCGAATCCCTCTCTCCACAGAGCAACATCCACTGTCAACTGTATGAGGATACCACTGTCCTACCCCACTCCCTACCAGGARCTAAGGATTCAGGAGCCACAGCTTGAACAGATTATCTCTTCTGCCTCTTCCAAGATTTGGTCAGAACTAATCCTATCTTGCCTTGTATCTCTGCTGCCTTTAGTGCCCCTCTCCCAGGCCATGCATTATCTCTATCCTCAGACATACAAAGCTCATCCCCAACTACATACATTCACACACTACTGCATCATTACTCTCACTTCATTCTTCACTGAGAAAAATGAAAGTTATCAAAAATTTCCTCATCTTTCCATCATCAGCTCTGCAAACCAACATGCACCTAGATCTATGCTCTCTACTATCCTTAAATTACAATGGATGACAGCGTCCCTGCACCTATTAAACATGTTTTAGATCCCATGTGCCTTCACAAGAGGTTTAACCCTTATGACTATCAGCAATTTCACCCCTCAACTGGATTATTCTCATCAGCATACAGCACTCCTTGACCCGCATAATCTCTTCATATCTTCATGCCATTTCCCTATTCTTATAGGGAAAACCTTAATGAACACATTGTCTATACTCACTATCCCTATCTTCCTGATTTGTATTTACATTGCTATTTGCTCTGACCTGGATTCTGTCTCCACCACACCACTAACACTGTTCATCAAAATTACTAATAATTGGGGCTGGGATTGTGGCTCAGTGGTAGAGTGCTCGCCTAGCACAGGCGGGACTTGGGTTTGATCCTCAGCACCACATAAAAATAAAATAAAAATAAAAGATGTTGTGTCCACTGAAAACTAAAAATAAATATTAAAAAATTCTCTCTCTCTCTAAAAAAAAATTACCAATAATCGATAACCAATCCAATGGTCCTTTCACTAACTTCACGTTCCTCAACCACTCAGCAGCATTTGCACAGTGCATCTTTCCCTTCTTAAAGCATTCTTCTTTCCTGGCTTCTCTTACCCCACTCTCCTTGTTCCTTACTCTTTTCTCCAACTCTTCTTATTGTTCCTCTTCTCTCTACCTAAATCCTACATACGGGAATGCCCCAGAGTTCAGTCTTGAACAATGTTCTCTGCTTCATCTCCAACATGAGATTTTAAATACTGATTTATCAGTAATGCCAATACATCTTTGACCTGAACTTCTCCCCTCTCACAACTGATGTATCTTGGGTCTCAGATGTTTAACAAATACCTCAAATTTACTGAATCTAAAACATAGTTCTTGATTCTTTCCCTCTTTCAACTTTTCTATTTCAATAAATAGCACCTCCAAGCACCCAGTTGCTCAAACCCCCAAATGAAACTTTATTTTGAATATTCTGAATTTACTTCCTTCCTTCCCTCAACCTCTACATCTAAATCACAAGCAAGTCCTGTTGGCTTCACCTCCAAATTAAATCTCCAAGCTCGCCCACTCTCCATTAAGATACCTTAGGCTAAGCATCATTATGCCTTGTCTGATTTACTGAAATAGTGTCCTCATTGTCTCTGTGCTTCTTCTTTTCTCCACCTACAATCTCTTCTCCAGACACAAAGTAACTAGGGTTATCCTGCTAAATAATACCACATTAAATCACTCTCATGTCTAAAATCATCCATTGTTTTCTACTACCATTAAAGGTGAATGAAGAATACTCAAATGTTCCTCAACACTCCAAGATCTGGGTGCTGGGGTTGTAGTGCAGCGGTAGAGTGCTCACCTAGCACGCGTGAGGCCCTGGGTTCAATCCTCACCACCACATAAAAACAAATAAATAAAATAAAGATGTTGTGTTCAACTAAAAATTAAATATTATTTTTTTAAAAAACTCAAGATCTGGCTCCCACATCCCTCTCATTCTCATTTCCTAGTAGTTTCCTTTCTTCTACATCATTTTCCTTTTTCTCCAATTTGATAATGCCTTCTCCTTGACAAAGCCAGAATCATTCTTATTGTTCCATGTTCTTGAAGTGTTCTGACCCCTAAACTTATAAACTTAACCCTCTGCAGGGATAAATCCTCCTCATCCTTTGTATCTCAGTTCAAATAGCTTGATGAGGGCTTTTCAACCTTCCTGTCTAAAGTGCTCTCCCCCAGGAACTCATCACCTTCTCCATTTCTTCCCTAGCACTTTTTTTTTCTTTTTTCAATCTCTAATTATCTTACTTGTGTGTGTATTTACCTGGGTTTTTTGCCTGCCAGTTTCCATAAGGCTGGCATCTTGTCTGTTTTGTGACTACCACATCCCCAATGATGGGTCCACAGGTACACCGTAGGTCTTTTGTGAAAAGAATGAAGGAAGGAAATAAATAGCTCTGTCTTTGGCCCACCCCTTTAACCACGATACCATACTGTCCATGACATATAGTTAACCCAAGATAGTACAACATGAATGTAGTTTGTCCCTCAGCCCTCTAACACAGGAGGAAGATTCAAAGAAGTTATTTTTTCCAGGGCAAGAAGATATTCTATAAAGATATTAGCAGGAATATGTACAAAAACCAGCTTAAAGTATAAAAAGCAATAGGAGCCAAATATGCACAGAAGTCAGGCAGGACCAAGAGAATCCAGAGTCTCTCCAGGCCTTACAGCCCACAGGCATCATAGTGCAGATGCAATGAATTAGGCTTAACAGACCTCCCTATCTCCCTCCAATCCAGTAGTGCTGAACAAGTCCATCTACCTCCAGGCCAATCGTGCTTAACTCTGTGGGTTTACCAACATCAATCTGATGGAAACTTCTCCAAAACAGAACAAGCAGGTAAGCAAAATACTATACCAATTCAGGATACTGGCCTCCACCTCTGAGCCTCTGTTCCTGTCCCAGTGTTCAAGAGCCAGGAAGACACTATGAAGTGGAACTGGAAGAACACAGGATCAGACTCATCCAGAAGGAAGAAGTCATCACCACATGCAACAGAGTCACTGAACGCACAGCACCAAACGTCCACAACCACACTACCTTGTCAATGCCTTTGGGCTTCTGTTCAGACAGGTCTGCCACTGGCTATAACTGTTGAGAAGAAAGAGGAAATATCCAGCATATCCTGAAGGTCATTCTAGGGCAGAGCCTTCAGAAACATTCCAAAGGAGAAAAATTAAGAGGTAGAAATGGGAATAAATATTTCTCTCTTATGCTGTGTCTCTATGGATCACATGGATGGCTGTGCTTTCTCCTCATCCACTTTTTTTTTTTTTTTTGTAAGTACTGGGAATGGGGACTGGAGTTGTGGCTCAGTGGTAGAGTGCTTGCATAGCACACGTGAGGCACTGGGTTCAATCAATCCACATAAAAATAAAGGTGTTGTGCCCACCTACAACAAAAAAATTTTTTAAAAAGAAGGTACTGGGATTGAACCCAAGGGTACTCTACCAGCACTCTACCACTGAGCTACATCTCAGCCATTTTTTAATTTTGAAACAGTTCTCCCTAAATTGTCCAGTCTGGCCTTGCTTTGGCGATCTTCCTGCCTTAGCTTCCCAAGCAGCTGGGATTATAGGCATGCACCCACCATTCCACCCAGCTGTGCTTTCTAGTCTAAAAAAAATGGACAACAGATAAAGCAACCAGTGTCCATACTGATGATCTACGGTCAGGTAGTGGAAAAGTAACTTCCCATGGCAGAAAAATCAACAAATAAAAAGCTCCATATGCATCAAGTTCCAAACTCAATATAATTAAACCAAGGAAAAAATAAGAAAATAAGAAAAAAAACCCACTTATATTAGATGTGAGAAAAGACTTCCTTAAAAGTACTATTAGATGTTGAAATATGTGTGTGTAGGGAATGAAGAAAGGTTGGTAGGGACCTCAATAATATTTGATTATTTTTATACAGTTGTGAGAAAGAAGTAATTGTATGACCAGTGGTGACCTGGGTCACTCCAGGTGTTATGATTTAGATGAGGTTTCCATAAGGCTGGCATCTTGTCTGATTTGTGACTACCACATCCCAATGATGGGTGTGTGAGAGAAAATAAAAGCTCATGTGTGAGAAAATAAAGGTATGTCCAGATATAAATGATTAGATTATGAAAACTATGACTTAACCAGAGGATTAATCCATTTGTTGGATTAATAATCTGAATGGATTACTGGGTATTAACTATAGGCATGTAGGATATGGCTAGAGAAAGGAAGTAGTCACTGAGGGCATGCCTTGGGGATTATATTACCCCTGGCTCCTTGCACTTAAAAAGTGCTGACTAAAACATTCTTCTAATTTGTTCTTATCAGAACAAACTTAGTCACAAAACTGACCAAAACACCGGGACCCTGTTKCCTGGTTGTCAAGAATTGAACTGCTTTCCTCCACCACACCCTTCCACCATGATGTTTTGCCTCACTTCTGGCCCAGAGCTATGAAGTCAGCAGACCATGGACTGAAAGTATGAAATCATGAGCCAAAATAAACTTTTTCTCCTTGTTATTGTTTAGATGTGATGTCCCCCAAAAGTTCACCTGTGAGACAATGCAAGGTTTGGAGGAGAAATTATTAGGCTATAGCCTTAACATAATCAGTGAATTAATCCCTAATGGGATTAACTAAGTGGTAACTAGAAGCAGGTGGGTTGTAGCTGGAGCAAGTGGTTCATTGGGGGCATGGCTATGGGATACATATTTTGTATCTGGAGAGTGGAGTCTCTCTCTCTCTCTGCTCTTTGATCATCATGTGTGTTGCTTCCCTATGCCACACTCTTCTGCCATGTTGTTCAGCCTCGATGCAGGCCCAAGGAATAAAACCATGCCTGTCCATGAACTGAGACCTCTGAAACTATGAGATACTWAATAAACTTTTTCTCCTCTACAGTTGTTCTGGTCARGTCTTTCAGTCACAGTAGTGAAAAAGCTGACTAAAACATTCCTCTAATTTGTTCTTATCAGAACAAACTTAGTCACAAAACTGACTAAAACACCAGGTATGAACCCATTTTCAAAGACTGGGAAAAAGGAAAGACCCTTCCTAGTTTGGGGTGAACTAGAAGGAAAACAAATACCTCTATCTCAACAAAAAGCAGAATTTTCCAACAGTGAAAACTGCCCAAATCTCATTAATACAAATGGACTGCCTGAATGACCTTTTTGTCAGGTATGTCAAAGAAAAGACTCAGGTAAGAATTGGGCCTCTAAGGTCCCTTTCTGATTCACATTTAACTGTAAAATTTGTTTAAATAATAAAAATCTCAGGAATGAGTTGAGCCCACAAAATCCATGATTAATTCCCACTATTTACAGTGTTTCAGAACAGGGGTCCACAAACTATTTGTAACAACCAGGTAATACTGTAGGCTTTGTAAGCTGTCTGTCCCAACTGCTCAACTGTCACTGTAGCAAGAAAATAGCAGACTACATGTAAATGAATGAATATGGCTATATTCCAATACTTATGGACATTGAAATCTGAATTTCACATAATTTTCATGAGTCATGAAATACTATTCTTCTTTTGATGTTTTCCCAACAATTAAAATATATAAAAGCTAACTTAGCGTATAGATTATACCAAAACAGACAGCAGTCCCAATTAGACCCAAAGGCCATAATTTGCTAGTCCCTGCATTTGAGACTGGTGTTTATACTGAGCTTCTGAACTGCATAATTCTGGCAATGGTTGTCATCCCATGCCTTAACCTCCTTCTCCCTCATTCAAGAAATACCAAGCAAAGAAAACTTGTTAATTCAAGGCAATGAGGAGACAAATAGAGACTATTAATTCTCTAAAATCAAATAACCTGAACTGGTTATTAAAAAGTAAGGCAATCTCTAACCATTGAAGAATATAGTAGCTTCTACTTGTATACTATTAGAAAGCCTATTTTAATACTGACTAACAAGAGGAAAAGTTAGTCTGAATTAAAGACTATTTAAAATGCAATTTTATTGTTCACCAAGGAAGTATTACTGCAAAGCAGAAGGCCTAACAGGCCTGTTTTAATGAATAGATGACTCATCTGTAATCAGCACATTAATTGTTGGGATTCAAATGGGTGCTCTTAAAGTACTGGGAAAAATAGTTTTCTTTTTAAAGCAGGTTAAGCATTCCCTCTATAGCCTTTTTTAAAGTATCAATTTGCTTTGCAAACTGTATCCTTCCAAAGACTGTACTGGTAAACTTAACAAAATCTATGCAAATAAATAAATAAATAAATGCCACACGAATTTGGGCAACACTTTCCATATTTCAAAATCAATACTATCATTTAGCCTCTCAAATCTTAGGGTCAACACTGTACCTTCTGCCTCTTTTCAACCCTTTCAAATTATTTCGGAACTTGTCTTCATATTGGAGTTTCACTTCTCTTGCCCCAGTCTGAAGATTCAGCCGCACATGGGATCCTGCAGGAACAGCCTGACCTAAAAGCCAAGAAGAGAAAAGGTTTTTAAGGTCTAGAGTCCAAGGAGGGACTCCAGGATAGACTGGCTAGCTAGCAAGCCAATAGAACTTACTAGTTTATGAAGACCACACTGCTATGTTCAGTAACCTCTTTCAGGAAGCCTTCTCTTTCCCTCTAACCAACCCACCCCACATGTACTCCTTTTGCTAATCTATAAAGAAATCCGGCTGAGGCAAGGAGAGCCAGAGGTTATACACTTTAATCTAAAGGCCAATATTTTCTCATTAGAACTGCCTATTTGAGCTACTCTATATTTTCTTCAAATTAATTAATTTGAAGAAATTAATAAGCTTTTTTGTTACATGCAGCAGGTGAATGAATGGTGGATATCTACTCATCCCTGAGGACATAGCTACATAATTGTTTTCTCCAAGACAGTCTTCCTGCCCCTCCCCCAAAAGTCCCAAAGAGCCCCTGACAGCCTGCCATCCCAGCAAGCTTTCCACCTCACCACCCTCATCCATTTAACCAGGCTCCTTGTTATGAGCACGGGGACTGTATCTCCTCCTTTTGGATTTCCCTAGTCCTTATGCCAAGCTTGGCACATAAAATTTGTGGCTCATAACATCTATGAGATGGAAGAAAAAAGCAACTGGGAATGCAGGAAAACACGGCAAGCCAAGGAATCAGGGAGTAGAACCAAGAGAATTGAAAAACCCACTCCCACCWATCTCAGAGGAGCTGATCCATTAGCTGGGAAAACAAGTTTTGTGAGAATGAATGGACTATTCACATGCACTACACAAAACTACCAGAGTAAAGGATATTTACCAGGTAACTACTATACACCAGGCTACTGTGGTGGGTTTTAGGAATACAAAGATGAATGTTAATGTCTACCAGGACAGAGCATTTCAAGGAAAGGGCTTTTCAGGAGACAAGAAATGTGAAGCAAAGATGGTGCTTCTCTCACCTGGACTTTGACTCTGCTTTCTCGTCCCAGACGGTACTGCCTTGCTTAATTCAAGGGAAACTCATAGTACAAGTTGTCTCAGAATGATCAGGTAAACCCTGAATATAAGAGGGCAAGGAAGTAGCAAGAATTCCTTTTCGCAATTCTGGCAGGATCATATTGAACTCTGAATTACTCCAGCCACTCTGCTGCCAAACAAGGAGCCAAGGAAAAAGCACGCCAAGACATACTGCTTCTCTTCTGCTGCCCCACTTCAGTAGGGAGCTGCTGTGTCTTTGGCTAAAGTACACAGCAACCTATAGTTCCTCAGGGTTTATGCATAACGATCTCCCTCTAACCTCAGCCAAAGTATTTTAAGAATTCAAAAACAAAAACAAACACAAAACGTGTTCATAGTACACTGAGAGAACCATTCTCTGGGGTGGCTTTCTGATAAGGTTAAGTTGGGGGTCAAATGAGGCAAAAAGACTTAGACTGAGGGAAAATGGAATTTCAAATGGAGGGAGCAACAAGTGTAAAAGTTCTGACACAGAAACCTGTAGGCTACTAGAGTGGAGGAGCAGACCAGGCTGGCAGGACTGTGGGGGCTTCTGGCTTAGTATACCATCAGGAATCCTAGGCTTCTTTCCTGGGATGGGAAAATAAAACTAACGTTTGAGGACAATGGTTCTCATTAATCCATTTAATGGATTAATAATTTGAATGGACTGCTGGGTAATAACTATAGACAAGTAGGGGGTGGCTAGAGGAACTTGGGAGCATGCCCTTGGGGTTTATATCAACCCTGGTTCCTGAACTCAAGCTTTCTCTTTGCTTCTTGGCTGTCATGAACTGAGCAGCTTTCCTCAGCCATGTCCTTTTGCCATGATGTTCTGCCTCACCTTGAGCCCAGAGTAATGAAGCCGGCCTTCTATGGAACAAGACCAGGAGCCCCTAAATAAACTTTTTCTCCTCTATAATTGTTCTGGTTGGGTCCTTTAGTCACAATAGTGAAACAGCTGACTAAAACACTCCTACAAGAGGGCCATTTCACCAGCTGTTTCTTTTGCCCAGAATATTCTTTCTAACCTCAGCCTCCATCTCCTCACTATCTCTAATACCAACTAAGGGTCACTTCCTCTAAGAAGCATCTTCTGTTCCCTGGGATCAGATCTATCTGCCCCAAAGGCTTGTGCAGCACCATGAACCTCTCTCTTCTTTATAGCACTTAGTACAAGCATTAGTTATAGTTTTCTATTTTTTTTTAATATTTATTTTTTTTAGTTCTCGGCGGACACAACATCTTTGTTTGTATGTGGTGYTGAGGATCGAACCCAGGCCGCACGMATGCCAGGCGAGAGTGCTACCGCTTGAGCCACATCCCCAGCCCAGTTATAGTTTTCTATAGGTTAAATACTCATTATTTTTCCTGTAAGGATTGTCATATGGCCTAATATATAGTGAACTGTCAATAATTATTTGTTGAGTAAACATTTTTAAATGAAAAAGAGGACATCCTGGCTGATCTACAAGTGTATAAAAAGAACAATACGGATTTTCACTAGGGCAGGTAGATTCATAATAATTAGTTGTGTTAACAGCTATTTTTAGCAGTAATAGTACTACTACTACTACTACTACTACTACTAATAATAATAATAATAATAATAGCAGTGTCAGGAGGGAGGAGGGCAGGAAAAGAGTAAATACTGGGGACTGACATTAGCCAAATTAAACTATTATATTGTGTGCAAGTACAAATCTGTAACAACAAATCCCACCATTATGTACAACTATAATGCACCAATAAAAAATATGGGAAAAAAGGAAATAAAAAGTTTAATAGTTATGCTGGGCTGTCTATTAAAAATAATAACAATAAATGCAGTGTCTTGAATTTTCTGATTTTGATCAAGAATAGAAACAGATGAATACACAGAAATAATAGAGAACATGAGTATAGAAGCTTCAGATATGACAGGTTAGACCTTGCTAAGATGGCCAAGGAAGACAGGAAAATCTTATGTAAATCTATTTTATTTGGAGAGAATTTCCAAAATTGCACTTTTCACAAAAGCCACCCCAGGAGCAAGCACAGTAACATTAACTCAAAACACAGGTTATGCTCATTTAAAATGTAAAACCAGTCATGGCAGAAGCAACAGAAAATGTAGTATTTAAAGGTTTCTACCCCATTGGGAAAAAGGCCAAGTTAGAGAGTGTTATCTGATCTGCATCATTTAACTTCTGTGGCAAAAGAAAAAAGTACCAGAAAGAATATTGAGAAAGAGCAAAACAGAGGCATAGAGAAATCGTGTGTGTGTGCACACGTGTGTGTGTGTGTGTGTGTGTGTGT